GGGGCGCAAGTCCGCCGCCCGCTGCCCGGGGACCCGGCGAGGGGCAGGGGCAGCCCTGAATCGGCCCCGGACCTCCCCGGCTCGCGTCCCACGCTGACCGGAAAGTTTGTTCCTTTGCACTCTCCCGAGCTGCTCCGGGAGCCCTGCCGCGACGAGGTGAGAGCTTGGGGGGAGGGGAGGAAAGAGGTGCCCGCCGAGGAATGTGTCGAATTGAGGGGTGAGGAGCCGGGGTTCCCTGTTGCACCACCCGGCGGGGGCCGGCTGCGCGCGAGAGCCGGGATCATGTGCTATTTGTCCCGCGGAGGCGGAGAGAGGTGCCAGGCCCGGGGCGGCCGTCAGTTGGCTGGACAGGAGGACGGGGTCCTCATGGCCGCCCAGAGAGGCCGGGGCCGAGGCCTGCTTGAGAACCGCCGGGTGAGCAGGGTACAGGTGTCCGCAGGCCCCCTTTCGGGTGGGTTTGCCCCACCCCAGCCGCGGGCCCCTCCCTGTGTCCCACTGACCGACCCCTGACCCTGACCCCTGTTCCTTTACTCGCTATTCGCCAGCCGTGCCACCCCATTCACTGACCCATCAACCTGCAACGGCGCTACCATTGCGTGTCGCCACCAATGCCCCTTCCCTGGGCCTGGGGGTCAGGACTGTACTTCCTGAGACAGCCTCTGTGATCTCAGCTACTTCTTTCCTGTCCTGAGACTGACCAGCTCCGTCGCCCCTTCTGTGCCCTGCCCAGGAAGGCTGGTGAAGTGAGGACCAGCATGACAGGGGGTCTTTTGGGACTGTGGAAGGAGCCCGGGCATCCCTGAACCCTCTTCACAATTCTCCACCCTGCTGTCCGTGGGCGTAGGCTGCTCAGGCTCTCCTCCCAGGGTGTGGGCATCCAGATCACCCACATTCCTGGGCTCCAGCCTGGCACCTTCCTCATGGCAGCGGACGCCATAGCACTAGCCCCAGGCTGGGGCTGGGACTGCCGGCTTCCTTTCCCTTCTCTCCCGTCAGGGAGTCCTTCAGGGTCCCCTCTCGCATAAAGCCACAGGTATTCTGGGTTCCCCAGTAGGAGCCCTGGGTGTTTGTAGGGATGGATACAGGATGACCCCACCCTACCCTGCTCATTGTCCTGGATCCTGGGGAGGAAGTGCTGGGGGTTGGGCAAGGGGTTTGGGGCCCACAAGGCAGGCCATGTGGATCCCAGTCCTGGGCTGCACTTCTAGCCTTCGGACTTTGCCCCTCGACTCTCCCTCTCTCGTGAGTGGAGGTGTGTGGGCCCTAAGTGGGAGCTGGTTTCTACTTCTCCCTTGCTGGTCCTATGGGGAATTTAGGCAAGTTCTGTCCTTGGGGTTTTCTCCTCTCATCTCCCTGCTGGGATCCTGATTTGAGCTTTTGCCCCAGACCTCCTCTTCTGCCTGTTTAACATCGCTGTTTGATATTCTCTGTTTCTTCTTCCTTTTATTTTCCCATTTTTTCTTTCATAGTATGACCTCAATCTTGTCTTCTCTCTCATGTCCTTCATTTTCTTGCTGTCTGTGGCTTTCTGCCTTTCCTTGTCCCCATTCCCACCACCCTCATTGTCTCTGGCCATGTGTCCCTCTCTCTGAATTGCCCCCGTCTAGCCTCTCTCTCTCTTCTCTAACTGAATGTTCAGTCTGCTTGTGAGTGATGAAGAATAAAAATATAATCGTCGCTGCCCTTGGATTCACATTGCATTTGGCCATTTCAGAGAAGCAGCCATCCTTAACCTTTTTTAATGCCCCCCCTCCCAGACCTCTGGAGCTATAGGTACCTTCTAACCACTCTTCCCCCACAACCAGGGCCTTCCCCACAGCCCCAGCTGGCGTGGCCAGGCCCCAAGTGTAGGATGGGGCTCCCCCTACGAGGGCCGATAGCAGCCAGAACTGATACAGCCCCCCTGATCTGGGGCCAGGACACCAGGTAACTCTGGGGTGAAGGCCCAGATCCCTGTGAGCTGGGATATGGCTGGGGAGAGAGGCAGGAACATCTTTGGGATTCCCTCAGGAGACTGACATTTGGGAGGAAGGCCGGGGAACAGGAACTGGGTCCTTGAAAAGCTGAGTAGCTGGGGAAGGAGGGTGGGGAGCCTGGTTCCTGGAAAAAGTTAGGAGGCAATGTCTGGGCACCCCCCCAGGGGCTCTAACCTCCCTTTCATTTTCTGTCCTCCAGCTGAGGAGGGTGGGAGTATCTGGAGCCATGGCTGGCGCCTCAGTGAAAGTGGCAGTGAGGGTTCGGCCCTTCAACGCCCGTGAGACCAGCCATGATGCCAAGTGTGTGGTCAGCATGCAGGGCAACACCACCTGTGAGTGAGTCCCAGGGGCCCAGCTGGGCACAGCAGGGAAAGCTGGGTCCACCACACAGGCCAGTCCCACCACGCTGGACGAGGGGCAGAGCAGTACTGGGCATAGAGCAGGTGCTAGTTGTAAGGGCGGGGCTGGGGCAGTCTGGCCTTTCTGTGCCCCCGGGAGGGGAACTGTTGGCCTGGAGCCCTCCATTGCCCAATCCAGAGAGGCAGCTCAGTGGGGGTGGGCCCTAGAAAGCCAAAATTAGCTTTGGCTACTGGAGGGGGTGGGGAGTATTAAAGGGGAGAAATGAATTAGGACAGAGGTGGGGAATGGGGTACCTGGATTCCAGGGGCTTGTGGGGTATGGACAGAGGTTGGGAGTACCTGACTTTGGTCTTCCTCTTTTCACCTTCTTTTGCTCCTCAGCCATCATCAATCCCAAACAGAGCAAGGATGCCCCCAAAAGCTTCACCTTCGACTACTCCTACTGGTCACACACCTCGGTGAGATCTTTGGGCTGGGAAGGAGCTAAACAATGAGGGATAGGGGATTTGGATCCTGGGGACGGGGCATTGCTAGGAACTTGACCTCCAGGGAGTTCTTTGGGAAGACCAGGATCCCTGTGGGGTTGGTGGGTAGGACCCTTAGATTGTGATTTGGACCAGGATCGGGGAGACAGAAGCCCTTGTGATAATTGGGACTGGCAGGGAGTTAGATAGGATTTTCAGGGATGATTAGGACATGATGTTGCGGGGGCAGGACCTTTGGGCAGTCATCGATGATAGAGGCAGGACTCTTGGGACCTAGAAACTAAGGACACAGTCATTCAGGGCTCTCTGCTGTCGTTCTCTGCTTTCCTTCCACCCAGGCCGAGGACCCCCAGTTTGCATCTCAGCAACAGGTGTATCGGGACATTGGAGAAGAGATGCTGCTGCATGCCTTCGAAGGCTACAACGTGTGCATCTTTGCCTATGGGCAGACCGGGGCTGGGAAA